AGTGTGAGTGCTTTAAGGGATTTAAAAAAAGCCTGCTTAGAACCAAAAGACAAAAGATCCAGATAATTTTAATCTGGCATGATAAAGCCTTTTTTTTTCTAAATAGAAGTTAATTTCACAAATGAACAGATTCCTTACTTTTCATTCGCTTTGTCCTGTATTATCATTATTTCTTCATTTCTCTTCCTGCTTCTTTTTGTTTTGTTTAATTCCCAACCAAAATAGTAGAATCTTGCTTAAAAAAAAACCAGTCAAGAAACTAGTGCCTTATGCCAGTTCCAGTTCCTCCTAGGCATATGTCCTTTGTACACTAGCCCTTCATTCTACTGCCACTAAACAGAATGTAGAAAATGTAGAAAAAAGTCCAATGGTTTTGATCCTTTGGAGAGGGCAATTGACTTCCATTCCATGGGACACAGAGACATTTAACTTCCAAATGGACTGTGATCATTGGTGGATTTATAAAAGGATCTTGAAATGCATTAAATAATCTAAAATAAATTGGTCCTGCTACACAAATACATACAGGAAGTTGGGTGGCTTTGGCAGGTCAGATGTGGGAACCAATTTAACATTTACAGCATCTCACACACATACACCCTGCCACTGAAAGCTGCTGAAATATAGTAGTACACTGCTAGAAGTACAACCCCACTTCTGGTTTACAACACTGTGAGCAGCAAGCACATAGCTTGTTTTAAAGAACATATTCTTTTAAAGGAGTGTGTTTCTCCTTTAAACCATGGTGCATGTTTCCCATGCACCTTGTTTTAAGGTGAAAATACAAGGCAGGGTGACTGCCAAATTTGGAGACAAGATCTTCAGAAGCCAAGAAGAATGGCTGGGGAGAGTGCTTCAGAGCCATGGGTCACATATGCGTTTAGCCCCATCAGTTGCACAGTAAACATTATTCTGTTGGTATGAAATGCAACAGCAGGAGTGGAGATTTATTGGTAGCAACTGCATGGGCATCGCCATATTTTAAAGGGTCCAAAAATGTTATTACAAAAGCAATACTAAAATGGATTACATTTGCTTTTTTATTTCTCCTTTACTGCTAAGTAGTCACTACCATTGGCTTTTTTAAATATACACCGTGTGTGTTTCAGTTTGAAGGCAAGCATATGTGTGTACAGTTCACCGCCCTCCCCCAGGAATATTTTCTTACGCCCCCAACAGTTTCTGGCATATAAAACGCTATCACATACTTTATCTGCACTTGAAGAAAACCTTGTTATAAAACCATGGAGAGATCGGATAACACCTACACTCCCCAAATACATCCACCAGGGTTGAAAAGTTCAGCTGATTAATTCCTTGTACTGAGATTTATTGAAGCTAGGCCAAGCTTTGGGATTCTTCAGTGTCAATACATGCAAAGGGCCCATGGGATTTAAAAGATCTTAATCAAAAGTAAACTCTGGAAAGAAATGGCTACCCCCTCTTTTGTCTGTCGGCTCAGGGAATCTTTGCATAGTATGTTTCTGATTCTGTTTTTGGTTTCTTTGTTTTTGCTTCTGTGTGCTGCTCCCCATCACTCAGAGAGGTGTATGGATGAAGCAGGACTTTCTGCCAGTATTGTTGTAAAGTCCGTATAGTTGTAAGGAATTGTTATGCTGATGCCAGAGGCACAAAATTATCTTGCAAGCTTTCAGAAACTCTTCTTTCAAAAGTTTGCACAGAGAATGGCGTGTCTTTTTCTTTGTTCTTAAAAGAGTAATACAGTCCGCCTGCACCATACGCAGACTTGCCATATGCTGTTTTGAGCTTATGTGTATGGCAAGCCTGGGGGGATGCACCATACATGGATGCGCACAGCATTATTTTCAATGGGGCTTAAGCAAATGTGTTTTTCCCTTACACGGTGGGGGTCTGGAACTGATCCCCCGCATATGGGAAGGACCCAATGTACCACAATATTGGAATTAGACGTATTATCATTATGGTGGCTTCTACATCTACAAGGTCTCCATCTACAAGATCTTTTAGCTGATTGCTTTAGATTTTTTAAAAATGTACTTTAAAGGAGTCAAACAAAAATTGAATTGGGAAATGAAATAATCTAAACCTTTCCTTAGAAGAGTTTTCTTGCTCCATCTCACCCTTCCAGAGCAATTCTTAAGCATACAGTGGGGGTAGAGGGGAGTTTATTTGTATTTTTTCCCCTCATTGTCAACCTAGTCAGTTTGGATGCTAGTTTAGATAAAGCCCCTTGGAATTCAATGAAAGAGCTTTCTCAGTTGCTGCCCCCTTATTAACAAATTCTATTTCCAGTTACCATATTCAGGGGTGGGCCATGCATCAAAATAAAATAAAATACAAAATCCACAAAACAGCAATACCTTTATTGGCCAACCACAATGAACAAAATACATATGCTTTTGGGTTGACCAATAAAGGTATTGCTGTTTTGTGGCTTTTGTTGTATTTCTAGTGATGTTCACCTGGTGCTATCTTTACTTCCATCTCACTTCTAGGCGAAACCTGGTTTAGTTATGAAGAACTTTTTATACTTTGAGGGATTTTAATGCTAGATTATATCTACTTGCAATATTTTGTTGTATCATTAATTGATAATGCATTCAGAGGGACACCATAAGTTGAAGCCAACTTGATGGCAAATAACAGCAATAAACAGCAGATATATTTTATTAACTGTTGTTCTTTGTGTTATATTTCCATTTTTTAATATTATCAGACATGGTCACTTTGAGAGCAAATCAATTTTTTGTGGCCAAAAATTCTGAGTGGCTAATAAATTCTTAAGGGAGGGGGGGAATCCAGAAACAAGGGAGGAAGGAAGGAGAAAGCAAAATATAGGGAGGGAGGGGGGAGAAGGAAGGTTACTTTCACCAATAAGATCACCACATTGTAAGACAAATGTAATGTATGCTCCAGTTGTTCATAATGAGCTCTTATTTCCGAAGTTGTCAAAATACCCAATAACTTTGAAACATCAAGCTTTTAGACAGCATGCATACAGTGCAGGACATCTGATCTATGAATTAGGTCAGTGAAAGGCACATTCGAGGTACCTTACAATCACAGCCAATTGGCTTTTTACATTCCTCACAGGTGTTGGAGTACAGGCTCTCGTAGCATTTGATGCAGTAGGGGTTGTCTTCCCTCAGGATGTACTTCTTGCCAAATAGGGTTTCCTTGCAGTAGTGGCAGTCAAAACGTTCTGTCATTTTGACATCTAGGATTTCTCCAGCCTGTCAATGAGAAAAGGCACAGCTGTGGGTTAAAATAATGGTATCCTGAACACCTCAATACATCTCAGTTCTCAGGCAAGCATAGACTGTATGACTGAGGCACCCCCTCAAGTACTGAGGTACCAAGCCTTTTAGGGCTTTAAATGTTATTGACAGCACCTTGAATTCGGAATGAAAATGTATTGGCGACAGTGCAATTATGTGTTATATGATATCTGAAAGGAATATCAGTGAGTAGCTAGCTGCTGCATTTTGCACTAGCTGCAGTTTCTGAGTATTCTTCAAGGGCAGCCCCACACAGAATGCACTGCAATAGTCTAATCAGGAAGTTAGAAGTGGAAGGACTACTGTATCTAAATTATCCCTGTCCAGGAAAAGCTGTAGCTGGCAAACCATCCAAAGTTGGTCCCAAGCACTCTGAGCTACTGGGTCTATCTTGGTCTCAAAGATTGATCTAGCAGCACCCCCAGATTATGCACCTGATCTTTTAGGAGGAGTGCAACTCCATCCAGGGCAGGCAATCTACCCAATACCTGGACTCAAAAACCACCACCAACCTCCATCTTATACAGACTCGGCTTCATTTTATTCACCCTTATTATAGCATCCATACACTACTCCAGCATCTCCACAGCCCCAGCCAACTCCAATGGCAAGAAGAAGTAGAGGTGAGTGTCATCGACATACTGATGGCACTCAAGTCCTAAACTCCTAATGACTTCTTCCATTTGCCTCATATAGACGTTGAACTACAAGAGAGACAAGATGGAATCCTGTAGCACCTCCACAACACAATGGCCATGGGGCTGAGCAGGAGTTCCTCAATGCCACTTTCTGGAATTGACCTTGCTGATAGAAGCAGAACCACTTAAAACCTATTTCCATCCTCCAGAGCCTGTCCAGTAAGATACCATGATCAATGGTATCAAAAGCTACTGAGAAATCCAGGAGGATGAATAGGGTAGCACTCCTCCCCATCTTCTCAGAGTATGTCATCAGTCAGAGCAACCAAGGTTGTCTTGGTGCTATACTCTGGCCTGAAACCAGACTGAAATGGATCCAGATAATTTTTTCCCTCCAAGAACTTCTGAAGCTTCCCAGTGGTCACCCAATGTGTTTCCATGGCTGAGCAGGGATTGGATCCCTAGTTTTCCAGAGTCCTAGTCCCAAACTCAAACTACTACACCAAGCTGGCTCTATACTACTAAAGCTGGAGCTTAATTCTGGGTAGACATAGGTATATGAGCCAGCATGGTTCAATGGTTTGAGCATTGGACTACAACTCTGGAGATCAGGGTTTGATCCCCTGCTCGAGCATAAAAAACCCACTGGGTGACCTTGGGCAAGTCACATTTTCTCAGCCTCAGAGGATGGCAATGGCAAACCCCCACTAAAGAAACTTGCCAAGAAAACCCTATGATAGGGTCACCTTAGGGTCTCCATAAGTAAAAAATGACATATAACAGAAGTAGGTGTAAACCTGCCTATCCCAGGCTGAGTAGTGTTAACTAGTGGATGGAGAAATAGCAACACTCCAATAGTAAAATCTCATCTTCGGAGGACATATACTTATCTTCCCCTACTTACTGAGTGCTGGTGGTGCAGTGGTTAAATGCCGGTACTGCAGCCACTTACTTACAAACCACAAGGTTGTGAGTTCAATCCCAGCAGGGGCTCAGGGTCGACTCAGCCTTGCATCCTTCTGAGGTTGCTAAAATGAGTACCCAGCTTGTTGGGGGACAATGAGCTTACATTTGTAAAATACTTAGAGACTGCTTAGTGTGGTATGAAGTGGTATATAAATGAAGCTACTATTACTATTGCTATTGAATCCCACTCCTAAACAGCTAAATGGGATTATGGCATGTCTGTCAGTGGAACCTTGTGTTAAAAGTTGGAGAGATTGTGCCTTGCTGATCTGACATAAGGCAGTTTCATCTATTATATACATCCAGAGCTTGGAAACTCCAAGCAAGGCAATTCTCATGAGAGCTAAATGACACACTGGATGAAATATACTTCCCAACCAGTCAGACTCACTTCCAGTTGCAGAACCTAGCTTGCAGCCATAATCACTAACAACTCACATGAGAGAAAATGCTATGGGGAACCATGGGAGTGAAAAGCCATGTCAAACACAGAGACATGAGTCTCCTCCAGTCAGTGTTTCCTTTGTAACATCTGCCTTAACTCTCAGGCAATATCAATATCAGACTTCTACTCATTTCAGCCATTGTATAGTTGTACAGCTTTTTGACTCCGCTCTGGTTTTAATCATACCCCAAAATCAGAAAGACCCAAGAACCACTACATATAATCCATCAGCTCACCCCCTATGCCTCTAATCAGCCACCTGCATGACAAGAAAGAGAGTAATTAATCTGCATTGTAATTGCCAAAAGAGAGCTTTCCCAAGGAAAAACACCCAAGCTTCACTTCTTGGCATTTTGCAATCATCATCATCATCATCATCATCATCACTACCAGCGGTCACATGAAGTAATGTTCAGAGCAGTTCCTTGCTGGCTTTCACAAATGTGTGAATTAACTGTTGTGTGGCATAGAGTGTCAGGCTTGACCCATGAAGGCCAAGGTTCAAATTCTCTCTCAGCCATGAGGCTCACTGATACATGTATGCTTCCCTAACTTGTTGGACAGAGCTTGGAAAAGTTGCCTTCTAGGACTACAGCTCCCAGCAAACACAGCTAGCTTCATGACTGACCATGTTGGCCAGGAGATTCTAGCATTTGTAGTCCAAGTTTTCTCCTGGATGGGGTTACAAATGAATAAAATAATTGAAAAACACATGTTATGGCTCTGTTTTTCTTACCGTAGTTGCATTTTGAAGGAAATGTGTAAAGAACAGGGGGAAATCTCTGACTAAACCTTATTAAGCTGATAGATTCAAGTCTAGAACATCAGTTTGGCAAACTGGTTTTAAGGACTTTTATCAGTCTTTGTGCATTATTGATTTAATAAGACATTGCAAAATAGTATTTTATTTGTGCAAATACCAGTTTGCTGTATAATTATAATTAAAATTATGGAAATTCCTCTGAATACCTCAAAAATGAAATAACAACAACAACAAATAAAATAAAATAGACAGAACTACCCAATATAAATACCTGGGTAAACAACAAGAATGTTTTGAGTTGGTGGTGCTCCGCCAGTCCATGCAAGATGGACCTATGGCTATAGTGGCACAATCAAGAAACCTTTCTTCCCTGCTGACACATTAAAAGAACTCGGGAAACTGACTTGTTCCAACTGTAACTCCCAGAATCTTCCAGGAGTTATAAAAATAACTTTTCAGTGCTCTGAATGATGCACTTGAGTTACATAGAGAATATTTCCTGGTGATCTTAGGTTCCTTGCGCTGACTGTCCAACAAGTACACAGTCTTCTGCTATATGAAGATAATAGTGTATGTGATAGAGAGCATATGCAGTGCATATAGAAAAAGGTTCAGACTCAATCCACTGCCATATCCATCTACACAAGTCAGGTAGGAGATGATGGGACACAGTTCTTGGGCAAGTCACACTCTCTCAGCCTCAGAGGGAGAAAACCCCTTCTGAACAAATACCAATGATAGGGTCACTGTATCAGAAATGACATGAAGGCAAATAACATCAAAACACACTGTTGACTCACGTTTAGCTTGTGGTCTACAAAGGGGGATGCAGATGGGTGGCCGTCATGAATCTACTTCAGTGATGCCTGTTCTATTGTATTTGTCTTCCTGAGTTAAGGGTTTAAGTTCATCTTATTTCCCATGCTCTGTACATTAGTATAAAGATATCTGAGAAACAGGTGATTCTTTGTAGCTGCTTGTTTATAGTGTTTCCCCACCTATTGGTGGGTAAACTTTTCATTGTCGAAGCTATTGTCCCCTGTATTTGGTATCCTCACATAATCACATAACTCAGTTTAAAGACTTCTTTGTAAGGTTTACAAGACTCCTAGAAAATACAGGGTTTTTACAGAGTTGTTGGTAAGAATACAGTCTACTAAGGTGTAGCCCATCTTTTGTCAGAAGTCCTTCTTCACAGAAATGCAGACAGGTGCGACTATCATTCTATACTCTTAAAACAGGAGTTGTTTTAACTGCTCTGG